CCATGTGGTCACCTCCGGGGCAGGCAGGAATCAAACTCTTCCCCCCACCCCCCCCCCCCCCGGGGGAGGGACACCACACCCCCCTCCAGAAGCGGCTTTAGATTCTCTGTGCTGTGCTTTAACCTGCTGCACCACCAGGGAGGGCCGATTTTGAATCACTTTTAACAAATCATCATTAAGTTCTTTAGTGCCCACTTTGCCTTTTTTTTTTTTTTTAAAGATTTACTTATTTATTTATGCATACAAAAACTGGGTGTAAGCCAGAGATGCAGGGGGTGAGAGGATTCACCAGAGTCAGAGTGGGGAACAGAACAGGCAGATCCACCTAAATGCACTGCTGAGTGAAGCAGCAGGTAAGACAGGAGAGTTCTGCAATGCTGTGGGTCAGCTCCCTGGCTGGGGGTCTGCTTTTATATTGTAATGGCTGCCTGTAGCTTCATAGTTCTGAGACTTAACCCCTTGTGGCATCAGAGAAGCCCTCTATTGCTTATTTTTAAATTATCTTTGTTTGAAAATATTTTAGTTTGAGACATTTCACAATTCCAAATTTAAAGATTTGTTTTTGACTGATACTGAAAAATTCTCACCCATTAATTTAAATTATAATAAATAGTAGATGCTGTGATCTCATTTCTTCTTAACAGTTATGCAACTCACTGATTCCTTATCATGAAAATGTAGCTTTCTTCTTTACTTTAGCATTCTTTTATGTGACAGCACTGCTGGAGGCTCTTTATAAATACAAGACCTGGATCTGTCAGCATCTTGGAGTTCTTAACCTAGCATGTGACAAATTGAAATACATTGGGTAGGACACTGTGAGAGCAGAGAGATAGAGTCCTTCTTTTCAGAAATGTGAGAGCAGAGAAGAGAGAAGCAATAATTCCTCTCAGAAAAGTGGGCAAGAACCTTCTCCTAAAGTATTAAAGAAATTTTGAATGTTTTTGAAGAATTAAAAAGGTAAAATGAGGTATTCCTGATAAGCAACAGCTTGCAGACACAAAATAATTTATATATGGGCCATATTCTACTTTAGAAGAGAAGTATTTAAGCTTGGAAGATGTTTTTTTTTAAAGGAACAGACTTAATATTTGTTTTGTCCACATGTACCTTAGACAGCCGCAGAGAAGAACCATCCTTACTTTTGGTTCTAAAATGGGGAGGAGAACTAACCCCTGCCGGAAGGGTTCAGGCTGAAGAACTTGGAAGAGCTTTCAGGTGTATGTATCCTGGAGGTCAAGGTAAATTTTGACATTTCTTTTGTTTCTTTAAATTTATGCTCTGTATTTTCACATCATTGTTTATTTTGAAATGTAACTTTAAATATTTAGAAAAATACAGTGAGATAAAAATATAGCTTAAGTGATTTGAGGATTTATTTTCAGGAGATTATGCAGGATTTCCTGGTTGTGGCTTACTTAGATTACATAGTACCTACCGACATGACCTCAAAATCTATGCCTCTGATGAGGGACGGGTCCAGATGACGGCAGCAGCTTTTGCAAAGGTATAATTAAATATTTTTTAGAATTCCTAGAATTTTATCTATTAGTGCAGTTAAAAGATTTTTACTAAGGCAGTTTAAAAAAAATTCTAAATTTTAAATTTCCAAATAAATGACAATAAGCTGTATTACTATAAAGTTTACTATAATTAGCTTATACCTTATGAACTGCACCATGTAACAAAATAACTATTATAGTACTTTTTATTTTACTAATTTTAAATCTTATGTTGGTTTTATTTAATATGTTTAGGGGCTGCTAGCTCTAGAAGGAGAGCTTACTCCCATTCTTGTTCAGATGGTTAAGAGTGCAAATATGAATGGCCTTTTGGATAGTGATAGTGACTCTTTAAGCAGTTGTCAGCAACGTGTAAAAGCAAGACTTCATGAAATACTTCAGAAAGACAGAGACTTTACTGCAGAGGATTACGAAAAGGTGGGTCTTAGCACAGTCTTTTACACTGTGAAATACTGTGCAAAATATGTATATAAGGTATAAAGAGTTTATTTTTTGTTATAAGCAAATACTTACATAATCACCATCCAGACAGATACACCTATTTGAGAAACTCTAGCCCTATGTGTCCCTTTCCAGTTACACACCTTTCCCTGTCACCTAGAAATAGCTATTATCCTGACTTTTTCTTTTTTTTTAATACTAACTTTTATATATTGCTCTTTTTTATAAACTTTTCATATCCAGGATACTTAACTTGGATAGATATGCAATTCTCACTATTGTAGTCTCAGTTTTGATTATTTTCTCAGTTTTTATGAAATTCAGCTAAATTGTGAAAATTTCCGTAGTAAATAAATAATCACTTTTTGTATGGTATTTTATATCAGGAACTGGCAGGTTTTTGTAAATGACCAGACAGTAAATATTTTAAGCTTGGTCATTTACATATGGTCTTTCTTGATTTTTTTTTTTAACTCTCTTTTAAAAATGTAAAAACCATCTTTAGCTCATGCACTAGGTCAAAGGTCACATTTGGTCTCAAACCATTGTTTGTTAACCCATGGTCTCTTTTATGAATATATTTTAATAAATACATGTTTTCTAGCTATAATTATATTCTGTTAGGATTAATACTGCTACAAATACTTGTGTAACTCCTATTGCATATAAATATATCCGTATACTCAAGGAATGGAATTGTAGGACACACAGTATATATCTGTTTCAATTTTGATAGAGAATTTCATGCTGTTTTCCATTTCCAAAGTCCTGGACATACCTGAGAATTGTCATTGTCCTACATAGTATCCATTCTTGGTATTCTCAGACTATTCAGTTTCTGCCATTCTGAAAGTACATGTATCATAGTATCTCATTATGGTTTTAATGTTTCTTGTCTATTTAGCTGACCTCTTTCCTGTGGGGCTTTCTTCAAGTCCTTTGTCCTTGCTTTCTGAGTTGTTTATTTTTCTTATTGAGTGCTACTGTTTTATGTGTTCTAAATACCACTATATACCCTGAGCCTTAATGATATTTCTTGATAAGAAAAAATTCTTATTTTTCATGAATTCCAAGTTATATTTGTTAATTCCCCTCCCCCGTCACTACATATTAATATATTGTTTATAATAGCCTTTCTAACCAGAGATCATAAGGTATTCTTATGTGATCTTTCTTGACCTTCACATTTAATATGAAATGCAGCTAATCTTGTGTGTAAGAGTGTTAAAGAGATGTTTTTCCTCCAAATATATGCATATCTTTGTTTCATAGCATTCAGTATCTTTCCTAATTTGAACTATCATTTTTATCGTGTCTGCTTTTTCTTTTGTTGACCCTTGTACCATTCAAATCCCACATGGCTCTTTCTTCAAGTTTTTCTCAACTCTTCTTGTATTTGCAAATGAATTTTAAAATAAGCTGATCAAAAATTCAGTTGGGATATTGGTCAAGTTTGCCTTAATTCCTTAGTTTGTGAAAATTTGCATCATTTAAAGAAAGTTTATGTAATTGTAAATGGTAAAAATTTTGCTCTCTAATTGTTGCTGCTGTGTAGAAATATAATTTTTAAATAGTGACTTTATATGCATAAGCCTTATTGAACTCACTTATTACTTCAGTAATTTATCTACAGTTTTTTTTTAAACATTTTAGGAGCATATCCAGTGTTTTATGCTTGTTATAACCTATCAATAACCAGTCTTATCAGTGAACCTATCCCTATGGTTCTTTTCATGATTGCAAGAGGCTCATTAACATCAGCCATCAGGAAACTTTGAAATAATAAAGGTTTATGATTTACAAGACCAGGAAATTACACAGCACACCTGGGCTCACTTACTGCGGTCAAGGGCGAGGTGGGACCTGGGGGAAAAGAGTGTGGGTGGGAGCCAGCACATGGGCTTGGGTCCCACAGTGGGACCCCAGGAGTTTTCAGGAGCCCTCTCACTCTTTATTGGTGTACTTATTGCCTGAGAGCAAGAATTTGAAGTGTGGGAAGAGGAGAAAAAGAGAGGGAGCTCACAAGTCTCTTCCAAATGTGCCAGTTATCCATATCAACCCATATCTATAAAGCAAAGGAGTTTGAGTGGAGGAAGGCATCCAGATTCTTTTCTATTAACAGTTATATGACTGGCAGTGTGTTTTTTTCCAATTAGCCCTTTGAATTGGATGCCTTAGCATCAAAGCTTATGTTAGGCACTTGCAGTATGAAAAAATACCCCATCCTTATGGTTCATATTCCACACACGTCTTTTGCCTCCCATCCAATCCTTATATTTTTAATTTTTTCTTGTCTTACTTAGCTAACACCTTCAATTTTTTAAATAGACTTGGCTTATTTTTTTTCTTGTCCATTTTCTTAAAAGGAAAGCTTTCAATATTTTTCCATTGAGTTTTTTGTTGATTTTTTTATGGCTACCCTTTCAAATATAAAGGAATTCCATTTTGTCCTTTTTTGTTAAGAGCTTTATTATGCAAAATTATTGAACTTTATCATATTTTCATTTCTTCCATTACACCTCATTATTTTGGAAGATGTGAAATTAACATGGTTCCTAAAATAAACTCAACTTGCAAGTATATATATAAATAACTGGTTTAAATTTACTAATATTTTTGATTAGGAGTTTTTTAATCTATGTTCTTAAATGAGATTGACCTTTACTTTTTTGTTCTTGTTTAGGCTTCTCCAGCTTACAATGTCAGCATTATTAATTGTCTCTTAAAATTATTAGGGAGCCCTACTTAGAGGGTATAATTTGTATATGTATGATTCATTAAATATTTGGTAAAGTTGAATGGTAAAAAATACTGTGGTAGGCATTTTCTTTTCAGGAAAGTTTTAATTATGGGTTTTAGAGAAATTTAATAGATTTTAGTTATCAGATCTTTTGTCAGTAAATTATGTACTTCTAGAAGTTTGTTTATAATATCCTTTTTAAGTTCCTTGTAAGATTTGTAGTATCTAAGATCTTGTTTCTATCATCTTACTGTCTTTTTTCCCTTCTTGATCTATTCCACCATGAATGCTCATGTTTATTATTTCTTAATAAACTACTGTTCAGAATTACTGGTTCTGTGAGTTATGAATTTGCTTTGCATTTGATTAATTTTTATTGGTTAATGTTTTATTCCTTCTACTTTTGTAGTCTGTTTTGTTGTTTTTCTAACTCATAAACACAACTATCATTAAATAAATGCTCATCTCATCCACAATTATATAGATGTTGAGTCTTTTCTAAAATATGTATTACAAGTACATATTATGTACATAATATGTTTTTGACTATATTCAAACATTTTATGCAAGTTAGTAAATTGTTCATTTCTGTTATGATTTCTTCTTGATCTTATGGTATTTAGTATATTTTTAAAACTTCTAAGTCTGCTTATTTTTCTTCACTATTTTATTATTGATATTGCTTGCTTATTTTCTTACTTTGCTGTTCAATTTTCTACAGTAATTGATTTCTCTCCTCAGGTGTAGTCCCCATAGTTCTTCCACTCCATAGCATCCGTGACCCATCATTGTCCTAAAATGGTGGACCTTGTGCCTATTTCATTGAAACTATACTTTTCTGTATTTAACTGTGTCATTTTAGTAAAAACAATGATTTTTTCCTGATTTTTTTTGCCTGCTTTTTCTTCTTTACTGTTGTATTTTAAAATTTTCTGCTGTTTGTTTTTTCCTCTTTTTGTGCCTCATTTTACTTAGAGATTAATGTAGCCACCACAGTTTATTTTTTTCCTTTTAATTTGTCTTTGCATAGTGTATCTTTGTTTATCTTTTACTTTCTCTTTTTCTTTTTTAAGATTTATTTATTTATGCATACAGAACTGGGGTACAGGCAGATCGTGCAGGGGTGGTGAAAGGATTCACCAGAGACAGTGGGGAGCAGAACAGGCAGATCTACTGAAATACACTATTGAGTGAAGCAGCAGGCCAGATAGGAGAAGTCTGATGTGCCTTGTGGGTCAGCTCCCTGGCCATGCTGCAGTTGGTGTGATAGCTTCATAGTGCTGTGCTTTAACCCATTGCTCGCTAGGGCGAGTCCTTTAACTTTTACTTTCAATCTTTCTGAAACTTTATATTTTTAGGTGTATCTCTAACTCTGAACTTCACTTTGTCCCCTTCACAAGACTTTTAAAGAGCTACTGAAATTTTTTGCTATCTTCAATATTCAGGATCAACAGATATTTCCAGTGGAAAAACAGTTTTAAATGACAAGCTCACTCTCTGAATCATTGGCCTATGAATTTTCATTCCATCATTTTATTACCTATCAGGTAGTTTAAAGCAGAGGTATAGTTAGTTCTTTGATAGCTTTGTTACTTACCTTTAAGGTTAGATTGATTCATACTACCTAGTTTAACATATGATTGGTGCAATTCCACTCTACATATTTAGAAATTTGTTTGATGAGATTAACTATATGTCAACACGAAGATTTAAACTGTGGTGTTATGATGATAAAAAATGTCATCATAAAAGCATTAAAAATAGCATGGTGGTTAAGAGCACCAGCACTTAGGTAGACAACCTGCTGTTTTGTTCCACTACTCCATATACTAGTGATAAGATCTTGGAAAAGTTGCTTACCCTCTGTTAAGTATCTCATCTGGAAAAAAATGATGACAATAAAAGTCTTAGAATTGTTGTATATAAATATATGTCAAGTGTTTAGGACCATACTTACACATATTAAATGAGTTTGCAAATTGTCACATTCCAATGTAAGTTAAAATACTTCTGCTAAATTTTCTCCAGAAAATCTATTGATACCTGAGTTAGTATTTTATTTTATGTCAATTCTGAGGTTTTTATTTCTTCCTGTAATTACTATTTGGAGGGGGGGGTAGTTCATCTTAATAATATGTAGTACTGAATTAACTTTCCATATAAAACTTACTGTTTTCTTTGGCTGTTGAATATAGCTACTTTATAAAATATGCAATTTACTCATTTGTAGCTTACTCCATCTGGAAGCATTTCTCTTATCAAGTCAATGCATTTAATTAAAAATCCTGTGAAGACCTGTGACAAAGTTTATTCTTTAATACAAAGTTTGACTTCTCAAATCAGGCATCGAATGGAAGATCCCAAATCATCAGGTAAATATTTTGTTTTTCTTATAGTATCAAACTAATAAGAATTTCTAGTTAGTATAAATGTTTTAAAATAAGATACACTGATCTTCAGGAATTAAACTTCTTATACTGTATGATGTGATGGTATGAGTTATTATATATCCAGCAAATGAACAGTAGCTAAGTTATAACTGATTTTATCCATGATAGCATGAAAAGTTGAGAAAGCATTTAGTTGTGTAGTATTGCCATATAGTTAAGCAGGAAATAACTGCGTTAATAAGGGATAGTAAGCAAAATTATCTGGATTCAAAACGAAGAATAACATGTATTTACTTAAAATTTATTTATTATAAATTGTTCTTTTTCTAATTCCCCACCTATGTAATTGTCACTTTTGTCAAATCTACAAAATATATAGTTGGTAACAGTATATGCATATAGTTACATTTCCTAGCTTAAAAGGTTGAACTTTCACATTTTAAAGAAGTTTCTAATCAACTTCTAGTATACTTAATCTCACTTTTTAGTTTAATGTACTAAGATGTTATATTGTTTTAGATATTCAGCTTTATCACAGTGAGACATTAGAACTTATGCTACGCAGATGGTCTAAGCTGGAGAAAGACTTTAAAACAAAAAATGGAAGATATGACATAAGTAAAATCCCTGATATATATGACTGTATAAAATATGATGTCCAGCATAATGGTTCCCTGAAATTAGAAAATACAATGGAATTATATAGGCTTTCTAAGGCATTAGCAGACATTGTTATCCCTCAGGTAAGTAGGAATTAATTTTTTTATAATATAGAAATACTTTTAAAATGTCTACCAATGTGTAAAAAATAGTTGATTTTCATGTCCTTATTAAACCCACACTTTTATGAGCGTACATATTTGAACTTTTCATTTGTTATATTAAATTACTAAATATATTTATCATCTTACAGGTATATAGAGATTAAATCATGTAAGATCATCATTTGATTTTCTAATGCTTTGATTTTAGTATTTCAAGATTTAAAAATTGATACTCCTAAAAAAAAAATTCATTTACAAGCAAGACAACTGAAAAGGATAGACTTAATTCATTTTAAGTATTTATTGGTTACCTATTATTCATCTACTAACTCAGCTACATACATACCTCTGTAGGAAGAGACAAACGGGATATTACTCAGTTATTTTAATAGTTAACTAATTTCAATTTTGATAGCTATTTTTGTTATTATAGAATAGACTTCACATATATATATATATATACATATATACATATATATATATAATAGTTTATTTTTACATATTTTTGTGCATTTTTTCCATCTCAGTTGCAATCCCCTTGGGTTTCCCATCACCAAATCACCCATGTGCCATCACCATAGACCAGTGCATTTCCCTCCCCCCATTGCTTTTGATCCCATTCCCCACTCCACCCCTACAAAATGTCTCTGGTATATAGCTGTTCGTCATTATCATTATTTGCTCACCTGTTCCATTATATTCCTGCTATGAGAGAAACCATCCGATATTTTTCCTGTTCTTTCTCATTTATTTCACTAAGCATGATCTTTTCCAGCTCCATCCATGTTGTTGCCGAAGACTTGCGTTTCTTTTTTTGGTAGCTGAGTAATATTCCGTTGTGTCTATGTACCACATCTTTTTAAACTAGTCATCCATTTTGGGGCATTTGGGCTGCTTCCATGTCTTTCTAATTGTGAATAAAGCAGCAGTGAACATGGGGGTGCAGGTATCCTTTTTGAATCAGTGTTTTTGTGTCTTTGGGGTAGATCCGTAGGAGTGGGATTGCTGGGTTGTAGGAAAGTTCCATGTTTAGTAGTTTGTGGACACGCCAAACAGTTTTCCATAGTGGTTGTACTAGTTTGCATTCACACCAGCAGTGCAGGAGAGTTCCTTTTTCTCCACATCCTCGCCAACATTTGTTGTTGCTAGTTGTTTGAAGATACGCCATTCTCACTGGGGTAAGATGGTATCTCATTGTGGTTTTAATTTGCATCTCCCTTATTACGAGTGATGTTGAATATTTTTTCATATGCTTGTTGGTCATCTGCATTTCCTCTTTGGCGAAGTGTCTTTTTTGCTCTTCTGCCCATTTTTTGATAGGGTTGTTTACTTTATTTTTGTTGAGTTTCATCAGTTCTCCATATACTTTTGTGATTAATCCTTTATCACTAGTTTTGTGTGAGAAAATTTTTCACACTCAGTGGGATGTCTGTTTGTTTTTTGTAATGTCTCTTTTGCTGTACAGAAGCATTTTAACTTGATGTAGTCCCATCTATTTATCCTTGCCTCACTATCGTGGCATTGGGTGCTCTATCTTTAAAGATGTCGCTTAAGTGTATGTTGTGTAGTGTTTGGCCCATCTTTGCTTCCAGGTATTTTATAGTTTCCATTCTTATGTCTAGATATTTAATCCACTTGGAGTTGATTTTTGTGTATGGTGAAGAGGTAGTGATCTAGTTTCATTTTTTTTAATGTATCTTCCCAGTTTTCCGAGCACCATTTGCTGAACAAACTTTCTTTGTTCCATTGTATCTTCTTTGCTCCTTTGTCAAAAATTAGCTGTCCATAAACTTGTGGGTTTATATCTGGGTTTTCTATCTGAATCCACTGGTCTGTATGTCTGTTCTTGTTCCAGTACCACGCGGTTTTGATTATTATGGCTTTGTAGTATAGTTTGAAGTTTGGGATTGTAATGCCTCCATTCTCTTTCTTCCTACTCATGAGAATATTGGCCATTCGAGGTCTTTTGTTGTTCCATATGAATCTCATCAATATTTGTTCTATTTCTTTGAAGAATGTCATTGAGACTTTTATTGGTATGGCATTAAGTCTGTATATCGTTTTTGCCAGGATGGCCATTTTGATGATGTTAATTCTCCCGATCCATGAGCAGGGGATGTCTTTCCATTTCATGGTGTCTTCTTGTATTTCTTTTAACAGTGTTTTGTAATTTTCTTTGTGTAGGTCTTTTACCTCTTTTGTTAGGTTGATTCTCAGGTATTTGATTCTTTTTGTTTTAATTGAAAAGGGGATGTTTTTTAATTTCTGTTTCTTCTGATTGGTTGTGTATAAGAAGACCTCTGATTTTTGTGTGTTGATTTTATATCCTGCTACCTTGCTAAACTGGTGGATGGTTTTGATTAGTTCCTCTGTGGAGTCTTTAGGGTTCTCCATGTAGATTAACATATCATCTACAAATAAGTACAGTTTTACTTCTTTCCCTATTTGGATTCCTTGTATGTATTTTTCCTGTCTTATTGCTCTGACTAGAACTTCCGATGTTATGTTGAAGAGCAGCGGTGTCTTGTTCCTGATCTCAAGGGAAAGGCTTTCAGCTTTTCTCCGTTGAGGATAATATTGGCTGTGGGCTTATCATAGATGGCTTTTATCATGTTGAGGAATGTTCCTTCTATTCCGAGGACTTCAAGGGCCTTAAACATAAATGGGTTTTGAACTTTGTCAAAAGCCTTCTCCACATCTATTGATATTATTATGTGGTTTTTATTCTTCTGTCGGTTGATGTGATGGATTACATTAATTCATTTTCTGATGTTGAACCACCCTTGGCTCCTGGGATAATGCCCACTTGGTCGTGGTGTATTATTCTTTTAATGCATTGTTGGATTCTGTTAGCTAAGATTTTGTTGAGGATATTTGCATCGGTGTTCATTAGGGAGATTGGTCTGAAGTTTTCTTTTTTTGTGTTTTTTTTGTTAGGTTTTGGTATTAGTGTGACATTGGCTTCGTAGAATGTTTGTGGTAGTTTTCCCTCTTTTTCAATTTTTTGGATGAGTCTGTGTAGAATGGGCACTAGTTCTTTTCTCGATGTTTGTTAAAATTCATTTGTAAATCCATCTGGTCCTGGACTTTTATTTTGGGGGAGGGTTTTTGATTACTTCTATTTCCTTACTTGTAATTAGTCTGTTTAGCTGTTCTATTTCTTCTTTATCTAGCTTTGGGTGGCTGTAGAGTTGTAGGAATTTGTCCATTTCTGTTAAATTGTCCAACTTGTTTGCACATAGTTGCTCATAGTACTCTCTGGTTATTCTTTTGATTTCTGCTGGATCTGTTGTGATTTCTTCTCTTTCATTTATGATTCTCTTTATATGTGCTTTCTCTTGTTTTTTTTTTTTTTTTTTTTCTTGGTAGCCTGGCTAGTGGCCTGTCTATCTTGTTTATTTTTTTGAAGAACCAACTTTTGGTTTCATTGATTTTTTTGGAGTGTTTTTCTAATATCCATTTCATTTATTTCTGATTTGACTTTTATTATTTCCTGTCTTCTACTGGCTTTTGGGTTATTTTGTTGTTCTTTTTCCAGTTCTTTAAGGTGGACATTAGGTTATTTCTTTGAGTTATTTTTTGTTTCTTTATGTAAGCCTGTAATGCTATATATTTTCCTCTTATAACTGCTTTTAAATGTGTCTCATAGTTTTGGAGATTTGTGTCATTGTTGTCATCTTTTCTCCAGGTATTTTTTGATTTCTTCTTTGATCTCATTGATCCACTGGTCCTCCAATAGTGTGGGTTTCAGTCTTGATGTGGTATGTTGTTTTCTTGTCTTCCTCTTATGTTTTATTTCTAGTTTGATTCCTTCATGGTCAGAGGATATAGTTGGTATGATTTCAGTCTTAGTGTATCTATTGATGTTTATCTTGTGACCCAGTATGTGGTCAATACTAGAGAACTATACATGTGGGTTTGAGAAAAATGTGTACTCAGATTTTTTTGGGGTGCAGTATTCCATAGATGTCATTAGACCCATGTTGTCCAGGTCCTTGTTCAGAGTTTTAGTGTCTTTGCTTATTTTTGTCTTGTTGATCTGTCCATTGTAGAGAATGGCATGTTGAAGTCTCCTACTATGTATGTATTTTCTCTGATATATGTTTTCATAGATGACAGGAGTTTCCTGATATATTTTGGTTTTCCTTCATTTGGTGCATATATGTTGATGATTGTTATGTCTTCTTGTTGTATTGTCCCCTTAATCATAATGTAGTAGCCTTCTGTGTCTCTTTTAACCATTTTTTGTTTGAAGTCTATTTGATATGATATAAATATAGCTGTTCCTGCCTTCTTTTTTGGTCCATTTGCTTGTAGAACTGTTTTCCATCCTTTTATTTTCAATCTGCTTTTATCTTTTGCAGTTAGATGTGTTTCCTGCAGACAGCAGAACGTTAGGTTCTATTTTTTTAATGCATCCTGCAACTCCGTGTCTTTTTATTGATGAGTTTAATCCATTTGCATTTAGAGATACTATTGATATACTGGCACCTACATTTGCCATTTTAGTCCTTTTGTATTTGTATTCCTTGGTTTGAATTGTTCTTGTTAATTCTTCTGTTGAATTTGGTTTGAGGGCTTCTTGTAGTATTTTTTGGAGTGGTGGTATAGTCATGATGAAACTGCAGAGTTTCTGTTTGTCTGAAAATGTCCTTATTCTTTCTTCGTAGAGGAAGGAGAGCTTCGCAGGGCAGAGTATTCTTGGTTGGAATTTAATGTTTTGGAGTTTGTTGAGTACGTCCCTCCACTCTCTTCTTGCCTGGAGTGTTTCTTCAGAGAAGTCTGATGTTATCTGGATCGGTTTCCCTTTATAGGTTATTTGTTTCTTCCCTCTTGTCATTCTCATTATCTTTTCCTTGTCTTGTAGTCTTAGAATTTTTATTATAATGTGTCTTGCTTTATTTTATCATGGTAGCTTGGTGTTCTTCTTGCTTCTTGCATGTCTACTTTCATCTCCTTCTTCATATTAGGGAAGTTCTCTTCTAATATCTCAGTGAATATTTTCTCAGTTCCTTGGCCTTTGTCTTCACCTTCTGGGATACCTATAACTCTGATATTTCCTTTCCTAAATGTGTCAGATAGCTCTTGAAGTATTTCTTCATTCCTTTTCCTTTTTACTTCTCTTTCTTTTTCTTTTTAAATTCTCTTTGTTTCTGTGTCTTCGAGGATGCTGATTCATTCTTTCCATTTCATCTATTCTGTTTTCATTACTTGTCCCAGTATTCTTTATCTCCTCTAGTGGCTTTTTCATTGCCCGCAATTCTTCTATTTCCTTTTTTAATGTCTCATTTTCTTCCTTCAGTTTGTTGAATGCTTGTCTCATATCATTTTTTTTTATTTTTTCATTTCTTTCATTCATTTCCTTGATTGCTTTCTTTAACTCCTTGATGGTTTGCCTTCATTTCATTTTTTCCCTTCTCATCTTCTTTTTGCTTGGTTATCATGATGATTCTGAATTCTCTATCTGGTAGGCTGAGCATTTCTTCTATGTCTTTCAAGATTTATTTTATTTGTACATATAGAACTGGGGTACAGGTCAGAGGCTCAGGGGCGGTGAGAGGCTTCACCAGAGACAGAGCAGGGAGCAGAACAGGCAGATCTACGAAGTACACTGCTGAGGGGAGCAGCGGGCGGGCCAGGAGAGGTCTGCCACACCATGTGGTCACCTCTGGGGCAGGCGGGAATCAAACTCATGCGGAAGTGGCTTTAGCTTCTCAGTGCAGTGCTTTAACCCGCTGCGCCACCAGGGAGGACCTCTTTTGTGTTTTTTGCTGACTGATCTTTTTGTGGTGAATTTTCCCTCTGTGGACTTGCTTAAATATTTGTTTGTCTTCTTTTCTCTGTCGTGTATTTTCTGATTGATCAGAGTTGCAGTGTTCCACTTAGCCTGTCTGTGGTGCTTCTGGATAGTACTTCCCTTATCGGAACTCCCCAATCACTGATTCTCCCTCAGCTTTCTTCCTTCTAGTGATTTCATGGTGCTCTCATTTGGGTTGAAACTCGTAGCATGTAAGTCTGCAGTATATTGTTATATATTCCTGTGCAAGCCTGGACATAGTTGTCTCGGTGTCTTTATTCTTCTGCCATCTTCCGCTCCAAAGATGATTTTTTAAATTATATTATTTGCTGTATAAGTCTAAGGATACTGTCATTATATATCACCATGTAAGTTTTTACATATCATCATCTGATTTTTTAATCAATTATTTTTGTGGCAGAAATACTTATATATGAGAACAAGGAGATCTCACAGTTACTGCTCTTAGTTTGTAGTAATAGATTATCAAAAAATGTATTGGAGAAAAGATTTCTTTATTGTAAAAGTAATATATCTTTGTTGTTGAATCAAAAAATGTAAATATAGCAAAAGGTCACAAGGACATTGTCAACTAGAGAAAAGCATTTCAATGTTTTGGAAAATCCTTGAAGACCATTCCCCTTAGTTGTGCAGATATAATTTTTCTCATCAATGCATATGTATTATGTATTCTTTGCAAAAGTGGAATCAGCAAAAGTGTACTACTTTACAACCTATTTTCCTTTTCACATAGCATTAAAAACTTTACATGTATGTAGTTATTTATATATAAAATACGTGTATGTAAAGCTATATTTTTATATTCATTCATTATTATTTCTAATAGCTGAGTGATGTGATGTAATACTAATTTATTTAATAAGTTTTTTGTTTTTGGAGATCTGGACTATTAAAATTTTCTTTTCATTTTTTAACTCATACGTCTTATATGCACTCAAGATGATTTCTAGAGCTCCAGAAAACTTACCCGTTTTATTGGAGATGAACTGCATATGAGAACGCCTGCTTTCTTATACCTTGTTTATAACTAAAAATAAATTACCCTTTATGATTTTCAATTCCAACATTTTCCAGGTTTTTTTTTTTTTTTTTAGGATTGTATTGAGTTCAACAACTATTCATAAAATTACATTCATCCGCTCATCCTCTTCTCTAGTTACTTGCTTTTTTCATTTCTACCAAAAAAAAAAATCCTTCCAGTTATGCTTAATAGTTTGGGGAATAGTATACATGGAGTGACAGTAATATAAACTAGAAATGTATAATCTTATAAAAAAGGTCTATTAAAAGTATTTGTTTCTCACAAGAATAATTCTGTTCTGTACTTGTGAGAACTCTTTTTCTTTATACCCTTTTTCTGATGTCACTTATTTTCTGCTCAGGAATATGGTATAACTAAAGCTGAGAAACTGGAGATTGCCAAAGGCTACTGTACTCCTCTAGTCAGGAAAATTCGTTCAGACCTTCAAAGGACACAAGATGATGACACCGTCAATAAACTTCATCCTGTGTAAGGCATTATAGTGGAATTTATGTTAGTGAACATCTACTTTTCACATATGTTAAATCTAAATTACTTTTTTAATGTTCTTATAAAGAAATCAAGAGCATGTTCTCTTGGCATGCTGTAGGAATAAGAATTACATAGGAATCACTAATAGTTAGCTTTTCCAACCAAGGTTCTTTTTGGCTTCACAATTTGCAGAAAATTGAGCAGAATAGTAAAACTGGATATTTACTGTCATTAGTAGAGGAGATTATCAGTGTGAACCCATTCAACAAATGTAAATGTCTTTAAGTTTCATTAGATTACGGCTTTTCCATTGCTACTGGAAGCTAAAAACCACCTATTTACAGCAACTTTACTAAACATGACTCATCTTTGACAATTCAGACATGTCATTATTTCTTATTAACTTACATTAGAGCAATATATACTAAGATAATTTGTTCAGTTGTAGTTAGAGAGTGATATATTTACTTGATATGGTCTTCTACTTCTAAGATTGAATGCCACTTAATTTTAGTAGTTACTAAAGTTAAGATATGTGTTTATATTGACACTGTTTATTTCTGACTTTAGGTATTCCAGAGGTGTTTTGTCTCCTGAACGCCATGTTCGTACCAGATTATATTTTACTAGTGAAAGTCATGTACATTCTTTGTTATCTATTCTTCGCTATGGTGCCTTATGCAATGTAAGTAGAATAAGCTATTCCTATCTATTTAGCAAATATGGTTTCTTGAATTTGTAATCAAATTGCTAGCAATGCAGTTTTTATTGGGTAATTTTAGTAATCCTTTATTTACTGTAGTTTGTAAAGGGTCTACTTTACACCAAGCCTTTTGCTAGAAGTTAGGAATAAAGAAAATTTTCTTCCCTTTGAACAGGATAAATTTAATCAAATAACACAAAAATTTTTGATGATGGTACATAGGCTGGTAACAGTGGGATGAAAGCTAATGAGTGTAACTTATTTAGTGGTTAGAATGGATAGGACTTGGTATTTGTCTGGACATTGTGCCTTAAAAGTTTCTCACATTTGAGAGACTTGACTGAATAAACAGTTTCATTTTGGGGTCTCTCATGGGTTGTAGTCAGACTTTGGCTGGTATTCAAATCATTTCAGAGTTTTCCTTTCATTTCTGAAGTTGATTGACAGTTGGAACATGAGCTGTAGTTACTTACTAGAACAGCTACAGCTGGCCTCTTTATGAAACCTGCTTTTTCAAAATGGCAGCTGAGTGCCAAGAATGAGTTTCTCAAGGAAACAAAGTGCAGGTATTTTTAATAATCTAACATTTGAGTCACATTATGTCACTTTTGCTGAACTTTATTGGTTGATGCAATCACAAAGTTTCATCCACATTCAAGGAGAAAGGAAATAGCCCACTCTGCTGGATGATTGGCATGCTGCTATCACATTGTAAGATGAGGACTTGGAGTTGGTGTATTATGGGAAATATCTTTGGAAAATAGAATCTGTCACACTATGCCCCTTGACCACATATCCATGTACCTCCCAAGTGCAAAATCCTCTTAAATCTATTCTCCAATATCCCCCAGTTTTATCCTATTATCGCATAAACAGGCCTCATCATCTAGATCAGGTTCAGATATGAATGAGGCCCCTTGGATACCACACCTGGAGAGCTTAAAAGAATTCAGTCTTAGTTCATACACCTGTGAAATGAAGAAACTACTTATTTGTCATTCAAGGACCTAAAATACAGTGGTGGGATAGACAAAGGGTAACTGCTATAGCTAATCTTTTCAAAAGAGGGGAAAACAGAAGGCATAGCATATTGACTGGTCCACAGCAATTTTGAAATCTACCTAAGTTTATGTTGCTCATTGTGTAATCAAGGATTTGTTGTACTGCCAGGGAGTTGGCCTCACAATATAGTATTTTGATTGCTTCAGTCTGGGTGAGCCTTCGTTTTCCATATTGGTAGCTGAGAAGTTTTCTTCAGTCTTCTTCCTGCCCCCTAAAGTTTAGGGATCCAAAGTTCAGACTTTTTCTTCAAAGTGACATAATTAAAAATCAAAACAAAATGAGATGATGTATAATATATTCCATTAAAAAAATTATGTCCACAGGCATCTTAAGTATAAGCTCTTACCTACTTTGGGCTCCCTTTATGGCTATTGACTGGCAACACTTAATACTTCTTATTGCATTAATAGTGAGTACCTCAGGGCTAATAAGATCATGTTGATGAGGCATGTGGTGCAGAGGGGCCTCAGACATCCTTGACATCAGTGTAGGAAAGAATACATCCTGTGTCAGAATAGTTGAGATAGGAATGAAGTTTTTATTTCTAGCAGTAGTATACAATCAAGCAACAAAGTGTGGGCAGATTCAACAGAGAATCTCCTTGGGTCTTGAGACTGCTGATATATGATGTGAAGTAGGCAGCTCATACACAGATGTGGTTTTGAGCTGCTTTTAACCAGTTTTCTTGTTTAACAAGACTGTTGAATTATAACAGCACCAAAATAAACCAAGATACTTTAAGTAAATAGGGTATGGGTCATCTTCTCCCAGAACAAGGACAGATGTTCTTCTAGAGTTACTAGATTGATGGATGGGGCTACAGTTTACCTCATTTCTACTCAAGAGATTTTAGACTCTTCCTTTAATTAGTAAATCTTATTTACTAGCCCCATGGAGACAGTAGAAACAATAAAGTTCTGTCCTTGAATCTTTGCTCTCTGCTCTGTCCTGGAACCCTTGTTCTATTCCTTCCTGAGTGACCTTTCATCTTCTTTATTACTTAAAGGGATAAAGGTATGATGATGTCACTATTCTGTAGCATCATTCCTGTTGAATATGGGTGTAAATCACTACCTATAGATGTGAGGAGTGAGATTCTGTCCTCAGTCTGTGCAGAGACAGATGATAGGGCTCTGGATTTGGGACAGGTTAAAACTCCTGTAGTATCATTTTTGCAGATAGTTATTAAGTGTCTGACACCAAGAGCTTAAACAGACAAAATCCCACAATTGGAGGATAAGAAACTCAGGATCCCTGTAAGAGAGGAGACCCAAGATAACCATTCTGTATCTTATCCCATGGACTGAACAGCCCATAAGTTCTTACAGCCTTTTGGAGACAAATGGACTACGTAATTTAAAATATAGGGCCAAAGATCTAAAATTATAAACATGTTCCACTAACAGTAGCTGTAACACCTAATGAATTCATTAATTCAATTATAAAATACTTTATTTATAATAGCAGTTCAGGACCAGGATTCCATTTCTTTGAAATGTTCTAATTAATTCAATTAGAAAATACTTTATTTATAATAGGAGTTCAGGACCAGGATTCCATTTCTTTGAAGTGTTTTCCTTCTGAGAAGTTGCTTCCTTCTCTCTATTTTAATTATTAGCCACCCTGAAGCTCAGCTCAAGACTCTCACTATTACTCATCTGTAAATATAAGCCTGATAGAGAAACAGATAGGTTTTGTGTGTGTGTGTGTGTGTTCGTTAAGGCCTGAGAACAGTTTAACCATTTGAAGTCATAACTTTGTTTACCTGATAGATTCTTATGTTTATTTTCTTCCTAAAAGCCAGTTTTTAAGTATAGCTCTTTGTAGAGACTGACAATGAGGAACTTTTTATTTTAATCTTACCACTTTTGACTCTTGGCTCCCTTTTAATTAGCAATTTCCCTATAACTCATTTTTCTCCTTTCATAATTTATTACAGGCATTGAGAAGACTTCTGGTATCATTTTTAATGTCTTTCTGGGAAATTTTTCTAGATCATTCACTGAGTTTATTAGATTTGCCCCCTGTATTCCACGGTCTATAGACTAGTTCCTATACTAGTTTTTTAAAGATTCATTTATTTGTGCATAGAAGAGCCTGGGTGCAGACAGAGGTACAGGGAGTGAGAGAATTCAGCAGGGATTGAGTGGGAAGCAGAGCAAGTGGAGCTACTGAAATACACTGCTGAGGGAAGCAGCAGGAGAGACAGGAGTGGCTGCTGCCCCATCTGGGTCATCTCCCTAGCTGGAGATCGAACTGGTACTCATGTTGTAGAGGCTGTAGATAAATTTATAGTGCTGTAGATTAACCCTTGCACCAACAGTGAGACCCCTGGATGCTATGGGGTGCTTCCATTAACATTTTTTTCTTAACTTTAATATTAACCCTCACTGATAACTTTGCAGGAATCCTTTATACTTCACAGATATTCTCTTTATGAGGCCTCTTAACTTTCACCAGCATTTTTCTTGAAGCCCTTCCAGATATAGAGGGTACAAAAAGAAAAGAGAATTAAGAAAGATTCTCATAGTTCTAACCTGGGTATCTTAGTAGGTGATTCTACCATTCATTGAGTTAAGTAACACTTGTGGGGAAAATGAGGCATCAGAAAATACACTGAGTTTTTGTTCCAGATTAGCTAAATTTGAGAAACAATACCTCTTCAAGTGAAAATGAGCAGCATTTTCATATCAAAGATAGAGGTTTGGGTTAAACATAGAGTTTAAAAGGCCATTGTGTTAACCACAGAGTCTATTGACAAGACTCCCAGGGAGTTTATGTTGGAAAACAAAGAAAATGTTTTAGGAATTGGCAATGAAAGTGATATGTATGAAAGAGACTTAGTGATTTTCTTTCTTTTTTCATACAATTAAACCATAGATTACCTAGAATACAATATCATTTGCTATGTAAAAAAAAAATTATAAAAAGATCCTTTCTCCCACTGCTCAGCTGGCAAAAAGAATTTTCCTCAATATGTAGTGTTCTACATATATCTATGCACATCCTTTATAAAAGTGATTTTTAAAACAAAATTCATGCTATTTATTTTTCTCTATTCTTATAGAATAAAGGATTATGAAATGTATAATGAAGACTTGGTATATGTCTCTTTGATTCTTAATCTGCTTTGACTAAATAAATTGATAAATAATTATCATCAGAAAGGCTACTTCAGTTTTCTGTTCCCATCTAAATTTCCAATCCATATGTTTTTTCTTGTTTGGTTTCTCCCTTGTCTCATTAATAAACAGCAAAGTGATATATCCATTCCAAACATAATGTGGATTAGTGGAGCTTTTACAAAAAAATTGTAAAATGCCCAGTAGTAATGTTGAAATTGTTCTGGAAAAGGAGAGACACACGGTAGATAAAATGGAAAAACATAAGGTTAGAGAGACAGTGCATTAGGGACCCAAAGGGTTTTGGAAACCTTGAAAGGTTTTAAGCAGAGGAATTAGTGACATTGGTTGATATGAAAACAATTGATAGGTGTGAATTGATATGAGGACACCAGTTAGAAAATTATCATAGTGATGTAAAGAAAGATGATATAATTTGTAACTATTGTGGCTATTGAGTATATGTTGTATTCATCCTGAATTTGTAAATCAAAAGCTGCTCTTCTATTCCCATTTCTATAAAGAACAGAGAGGGGCTGGCAGTGGGTAATATTCC